ACCTGTAGAACAGAAGAATTAAGCAAGATATGATAAATATCTGCAGACATTTGAAGGGTTGTCATGTGAAAGAGAGGATAGATGTGTTTTTCTTGGCCCCAGAGTGCAAAGCTAGGAACAATGGGTGCAAGTTGTAAAGAAACACATTTAGGCTTGGAAAGGAAAAATTCCCAATCATTAGATATACTCAAAAGTGGAATGAATGGCTGCTTCTGGAGGTCTCTAAACAAAAACTGGGTGAGCATTTGTTGAACTACTTTTGAGGGGTTTCTTTTTTAATTAGAGATTAGATTTAGGCTAGATGGGCATTGAAGTCCCTTTCAACCAGTTTTGATATTCTATGACTCCATAATGTGGTCTGTCTGGGGCACAACTAAGAGAGGCTGTCATCTCCTTATTCTTAGAAGCTGTAACTCTCTTAAATGCATCCAGCCTACAATTATGCTAGCTGATTCATAGAGCAAACTTTGGTTATATTCTTATTTATTTTCTATTTCTGGTTTTCCCTTTCTTTTAAATTCCTTGAAAGACAGAGACTACTTGTTTTTCATCTTTGTATCAAGTTGCTTTCATATAGTAGGCACTTAGTAAAATTTTGTTGAATTGAATTGAATTCCTTTTCTTCTGACTCATTTCCAACATTTACTTAATTTCCTGTTTTATTTTCTTTAGCTTTTCATCTCATTTAGTATTTAGGAACAGAAGAACTCTTGTGCTTTTCACACATATTTGAAACATTTTAAGCATTCCTTTTCTCTTGTTTAAGGATCATCACAGAAAATGCCATGTTGTAGATTAAAGAAGTAGCTATGCCTTGGTCAATTTTTCATTGGTAGGTATATGCCAAACTGGTCTTTCGCAGTATAAAATAACTTATCCACTTGAAAAAATTACTAATATAGAAATGTCATTTTGAGAATCTGTTATCTAATAAAATATATATTGTTATTTTTCAAAAAAAATTATAAATCTGTCATATGACATTCTGCCATATAAACATTAAACACTCAGCATGTAGTTATTTATCTTTATTAAGGTGGAAAAGTATAATTTACATGTAATATGTCCTTTTCAAAATCTGCATAAATTATCTGAACATTTTAAAAAGGTAATTAGATTAGTTGGGGGCTTTCTGAACCAATAAATATTTTTAAATTAATTTAATATGATAGTTAAGCATAATTAACATCAATTATTCCTGAATTTAGAACCTTTGTAATTATTGATGCTGTGGCATTCTGGAAAAAAAATTAGTGTGCTTTGGGTTTTCTATATTTTTTAATTATTATTATTCCATGAATACTATTGAGATTTTCACATGTTTCTCCATTCACTGAATATGTAATTCCCATGGTGCCCATTAGTAGCCATCTGTGTAAGGTAACATGTATTTTGAATGGAATTGATTAAGGTATAAATGCACTGGTGGTATGATCAGGGAAAGGAGTCAAAGTTCAAATCTTGCCTCTAATGCCCATTATGGAATTGTAAACAAAAGTTTGAAATGTGAAATTTCCAGATTCAGCACAGCCTATTATGGAAGAATCTTATCTTGAAATAAATAATACTCAGAGACAAAGAAATAAGCATGTGAAGCTTTCTGCTGAAGTTAGTGAGCATTATAATAGAGAAACTCTTCAAGTTAACCAGATAGTTAATATTTATTAAGCACCTACTATGTGCCACACTCTGTGATACCAAAAAGAGACAGACTCTGCCTTCAAGGAATTCAGATTCTAATGATGGAAGATAATACACACAAGCTAAAAAGCCAGGGATTGGTGGGAGGAAAGAAGATACCCAGGTGTTGGGGGAAGGGTTATAATGAAGTCCAAAGAAAACCAAAAGAGTATAGCCAAGTAGAAAATGAAGAGATGACGGGCTGGGACCCCTTCCATAAGAGTTTGGGGTTCATGATTCCGTTCTCCAAACTAGAGGAGCAGGGAAGAATAATGAAATATGAGTACCAAGACTGATTGGCTCTTGCAGAATGATGATATAAAGTAGACAACGTATATTTTGCTAGACTGTGCATATTTGTTAGATGGATTTTGTTTGGTTTTCAGCGTGCTAATATGTAGGAGAAAGAGAATATGAATGCTTGTTAATTAAAAATTAATTAACATGGAAAAAATGAAGTAGATACATAACAATTTTTAAATGCATCTTAGCACCACTTGGGGGGTTCATCATCTATTCCTTGTCACTTCCAGAGATATAGTCATGAGTAGGTAGTATATGAATCTACTAGACTCTTCTGAAATCATCTAGTCCAAACCCTTCATTTTATAGAAGAAGAAACTGAGGCCCAAATAGGTAAATAACTTGCCTAAAATCATACAAGGTAGCAGCAAAGCTGAGATTCAAGTCCAAATCCTCCAGCTCTGTATCTAGTCTTTGTATGGCAGCTAGGTGCCCTACTGATAGGGTGCTGGACTTGGAGTCAAAAAAGTCCTGAGTTCAAATCCTGCCTCATGTACTTAATAGTGGGCAAGTCATTTTGCTGATTTCAGCCTCAGTTTCCTCTTCTATAAAATGGGCATAATAATAGCACCTACTGCATAATACTGTTGTAAGGATCAAATGAAATAATATATGTAAAACACTTTGTAAATCTTAAAATGTTACATAAAGCTAGTTATTATTCATAGTAGTATCAGTATTACTATTGTTATTTGTGCTCCTTACATGGAATTTCTAACATCATGTTCTTGAAATTTTTCCATTTTAATCTGAATCCATGGTTATTTATTCTTGCAACCGTTCATCAGTAATATATAGCTCTCTATAGAGCTATAATGATATGTATATTTTTTTCTTTTGCATGTCTTTTGCACCAGATTATAAGGTTTTTTAAAAGCATGGGATATCTGCCATTTTGTTGTTCTTGGAAAGAGAAGAACTAAATTTGATCTCCGGCTCTCACACTAGTTGGATCTGGGCAGGTCATTTAACCTGTCTAACTCAAATGATAACAATACTTGTATAACCTACCTCGTACAGTTGTTGTAAGGTAGCTGCTTTATAAATTTTTAAATTACTATAGAAACGTGAATTATTATGAATATTGAATGAATTGTGATTGGGCACTAAATGTAACTGGGAATTTCCAGAAAAGGCAGGCATGTTTAGGTTGTGATTACCTGTATGTATTAATGTGAGAAAGAAAGGAAATAAAGAAGGAAGGAGGGAAGAAAGGAGGGAGGGAGCTCTTAATGATGGTTGTGGGACCAAGGAAGTGCTACTATTTGCTGGACTCCTAACCACAGGGTCCTTCTCTGTCTCCACTAGAGATTGAGGGAAGGTGGTAGTTGAGAATGGTGGCCATGGTTTGATATACCTGAAACTTCTCATTTCTCCCTCAGGGCATCTTACTATTTCAACTGTACTAGCCTGCTTACTTCATAGGTGGCAGTTGGACAGTAGTTGTTGTTGGAAGTGGCAGGCATGGAAGGCCTCCTTCTCCAATTGTTACCCTCAATTCCTTCAGGGGATGGACTGGAAATAATACTGTTTGTCTGGGGATAAAGATGAATATTTTCCTGATAACAAATTTAGGGAGAAACTTGTTACATGAGTTCATATGTAGGGGACACTGAGTAATACAATGGATTGGCCCAGACCGTCTATCATGCCTACAATCTATTTCTTCATCTCTATTTCTCAGAATCTCTTATCTTCCTTTCAGGGTTAGCTAAGGTATCATCCCCTTCATGAAACATTCATTCATCACCCTTCCCACAAGTTGTTAATTCTCATCCCCCTCAAATGATCTTTTATTTTCTTATCTATATATGCCCCAAAAGAACCTAAGCTACTTGAGCACAGGTATTGTTTCATTTTTGTCTTTCTATCTCCATTACATAGCATAGTGCCTTTCACATAGGAACTACTTAATGCATATGTAATGAATTTAATCATTGTTCAAATGGATCTTTCTTGTAGTGACCTCTATTTAAACTGGAGGTCTGATATTAAATCAGTAGTTTACTAAGAATATAATCTGAGGAGGAGAAAGACGAGCAGAGGGAAGAGTGGTTCCCATATCACAGTAGAAGAGCACTAGCTCCAGAGTCAGAACACGTGCATTTTGTTACAACTCACTTCCTGGAAGAATCCGGGTAAATCATTTCACTTCTCTGTGCCTTGGTTTCATCATCTGTAAAACAAGGGTGTTGGACTGGAAAACCTCTGAAGCTTCTCGCAGCTCTAAATCCATCAATCTACAATATCTCCCAGGGAAACTTAGGACTGTGAACATCAATCTTCATGACTTCTAGTGCGAGTTATCCATGGTGATTTAATAGCAGGGAACTGGTGAGAGAGGAAAGCGTGTTCCTCCGTGTGCACATTTCATGATCATCTTGAGAGAGATGCAAACAAACTACTATATTACCCTGAGCCTCTGACCTATCCCCTACCAGGTGTGTGGGGAAATGTGAGAAATACATATTGATTTCCATTCAGAGACTAATGCTGTCGATTTGTGGTCGCTGCTGATATTTGTTCCTCATCAAATCTTAAGTGTATTATTCCCATAGTCTTCCTGGTGTTTGCAATAACCTACGACTGGGTAACATCTGTAAACATTCTTACTTCCTTGCCTGCTAGGCCACGCAGCTGCTCCTGCTGCTATAATCATCTCCCACACAGGCATCTGTTTCAGTTCCTCAACAGCTACTGCCCCAGCTTTAACTGATTTCCAGCTCTCCCCATCCTTTCTCCTGTCTGATCTCTCTCTCCGTAGCATAGGCGGAATTGGAAGTGAGACCAACAAACTTAGCAGTCCCGTTGTATGACTCAAACAGTTGTCTGAAACTCAGAGGTCCTTTGTAAAGAAGGATAAATATATTTGGCACCATTTACAGGGACCACCTCCAAAGTCAGTAAATTATCTTTTGGCCATTGAATCAGATTTCATTCTTAATGTAGAAGGGATGTAAGAGAATTTCACAACTACGCTCCACTCACCTGAGCTTGTTGAATGTTTATTTCCCTAGAATCTTCAGCTACTTGGAGCCACAGCCATTGAAGACAGATTACAAGATCAAGTACCTGAGACCATAGAAACCCTAATGAAAGCCGACATCAAAATCTGGATCCTCACAGGAGATAAGCAAGAAACTGCCATTAACATTGGTAATTAATACCATTCAAGCTTTGAATAAACAGTTGTTTTTTTTTTAATAAAACATGGGAAAGGGATGGAGAATTTGAAGGAAAGATTATCTGTATTTCTTCCTGACTGGCTTTTAAAAATGGAGTGACCACTGCCACATTCTATATACAGTTGGCCTGGGGAGACTATTTAATATCTTTTCTTTCTTTCTCATCTCTACCTGCTTCCACCCCTGCCATAATTTACACAGGAGCCAGTTAGCCACCTTCTTGGGGTTAGTTATTAATGATGGGATTACTTCTGGCAATTCTGTGCTACTTATGACCGATTCTCATTTGTGTGACTCCTGTTGTGTTTTGAGGGAAGGGGGAATATTTTTAAAAGATTTCTAGATTTCATCCATACTTCAGAGAAATCTTTAATGTCATGTTTCCCAATCTCTCAGAAAGAATCCTACATAAGGAATAATACACAATAAATATTAATTAAAGGAAGAAAAGAAAAACTGAATGAGGGAAGAATTGATTTGAGATCTTAAAGGTCTTAGTCCCCAGTAGTACATTAACATTCAGGAAATCATAACTTTCTTTTTAAATGAAATGAGAAAGTGGCCTGGGTACACTTGAGCCTCTAATCAATATCTAACCTCTGACTTCTCTGTAATTAAGCATGGCATTGCATATTGATTTGAACAAATAACCTTCTCTAAAGGTGACTGTACCTTGGCAAATACATTCAGAAAGAATAAGATGACATTTTTAGAAGACTAACGTTGCACACCATACCAATGAGAGTGATGAGTTTATGTTCCTTTGAGAAGTGAAAGCGACTAGCTCATGCTGCTCTGTAATCAAAAGATTCTATCACATTTTCATAGTAACTGATATGGTCACATCCATAAAATTGATCAAAAATAAAAAGATAAGCTAGAGCTAGTATTTATAAATATTACAACAAAGATAAACCTAAAAATGACATGTAGTGTTTGTTTGATGATTAGGAAGATTTTCACCATTAGTGAAAAGAAAAAATTGCAATTAATTAAAAGCAAATGACTTGTGAAAAAAAAAGAATTAGATTATATAAACTGCAATAAAGACCAAAAGAGTTAGAAAATATTATATTTGGAAAAAGCAAATATAAGAAGAACAAATATAACAATATAATATATACTTATATGCAAATAGAATGATATAATATAAAGTACAACTATAATAAGGAAACAATTAGAACTAGAGAGAGAAAAATTTCAGTGAGGCTGAGCCCATGAAGAAAAGAGCAAGATTTGCTCAGGACATGCAGTTCTTTTGGGAGTCCTGTATAGAAAAAAGTGAGATGATTTATGAGGAACATATAACTACTGGAGGTTTTTTAACATGATTATTACAAGAAAGTATGGTTGGAAATAATGAGAAAGCCTCCTTAAATGCTATAGACTATATCTATGTTCTATATTTGCTTGAAAATCATTCTATTGCTTCTTGTCCTTTTGGCTACCAAATCAAAATTACTTTAGCCTACCTTAGTAAGTTGTAAGAAGTAAAGTCCATCATGCGAACAATGTTTTTAGTCATTTTTTTTTTAAAGAACTCAGTGTACTGTCAACTTATTCCAAAGAGTCTATACTTTAAAAAAAAAGTAAGAAAACTAATCATCTGATCCATCTCCAGCAATCCTAGCCAGCCTGCACCTAAGCTATTTGATGGATGATTGTCTTGAGTATTTCCAGAAGAGAAAAGGCTCAATGACTTCCCTTAGTAATCTTCTTAGGAACATAGCAACCTTTATGAGCAGGAAATGATCCCTATGTCTAACCTAAATCCTTCCTATAGCAATTGAAGACCTTCTTTTCCTGAGCCTCATCCATTGACGGTAGAGAAAAGCTGGCTACCATCCCCTGGATAAAATAGCCTTGGTATAGTTTAAGACTATTACTTTACCAGCCCTCAGCCTTCTCACCTTCACAGTGAAATGCCTGAGTTCCTCAGAGATTCTGAATCATTTTGATTCGTTTCCTTTGAACCCTAAGATCCATGTCAAAATTTCACTATAGTTGGATTTAGTTATAAAATCATGCCATCTGTTAGTTATCAAGAGTTCATTACATACCAGTCACCTAATCTGCAGTGTTTTGGGTTATAGGGCATTCTTGCAAACTCTTGAAGAAGAACATGGGCATGATCGTCATAAATGAAGGGTCTCTTGATGTAAGTAAAAATTACAAATCCACCAATGTTATAGATAACCTTGCAAAGTGTTTTATTTTAGTCTTAATCTGGTCTATCTGAATAGCTGCAAAATATTTTCCTTTAGTGAGGGGAAAAATAGCTTATTACCCATTACACTCCTCTAATGTAATGTACACTGTTTTGAACCGCAGTAATGTAAATGGATTCAATCTTTGCTTCTTTGACAGCCAAAAGAAATTGCTAGATGATTTGCTTAATGTTGTGCGACAGGAAAGCTGCATAATAAAAGCATTATGCCAGAGGGTTGCTGAGTGAACAGCACTAGTCAGTATCTATTAGTACAAAATTCTATGGAATATTCTGTATCTGTTTCAGCTTTGAGTACCAATATAGGGTTTGCTTTTTGTAAATGTTCATGAAATCAACTGAGAAAGAAAATGTATGTCTGTATTATTCCTTATTAATGATTTTTTTCCCCAGCATTAACATTGTCCTATACGTTCTCACATATTTCTTTATATTGCTCTAGGTGCCTCATTCAGCCATGAAAATAAATATTAGCCCATGTTGTAATATTTATAAATACTAGCTCTAGACCAAACAGTATGATTTCTAATTTAGTATTTGGCCCAGAGCTTAGGACAATGTTCTTCAACATTTCGGTGAAGAATGTTGTCCTAAGTTTTAAACCAACCCTGAATTTAAAACCTCAATATTTGGTCCATAGCCAATATTTATGAATACTAGCACAGGAGCTAATATTTATTTTCATGACTGAAATTTAAGCATTCAAGACAGCATAAAGTAATATGTGAGAGAGCAGAGAGAAATTTGGTCATTTGGAAGAGATTATGGGAGGAAAATAGGTAAAGATGAAAATCTCCTACCACGAGTGATTCCCCAATAGATAGTCAAAGGATATGAACAGTTTTCAAAAGAAGAATTACCAATTATCAGTGACCACTTGAAAACGTGCTCCAAATCACTAATGATAAGAGAATTTAAAATTAAAGCAACTTTATGGTTTTACCAGACAATCATCAAATTCACCAATGGAAATAGTCATTGTTCTTAGGGAGCAGTTTGGTGAGACATGCACACAAATACTCTGTTGGAAGAGCTGTGAGTTGGCCCAGATATTTTAGCTTTCCATATTGGAATGTTATACATTGACATAATTTGTCCCAGTGATAAGCCTCTGTTATTTTCTCCATTTTCAGTTGGTTAGTCAACAAGATACCATGTTAAGTGCTGGGGACAGAGCCAGGTGACAGTCTACTGGAAATGCTCCCATTAATCACTGAGTCTGATTACTCATCTACTTCTAAATTCATTATTATCCTACCCACCTCTCCATCTTTTCCACAAACATTATGAGAGACTTTGTCAAATGCTTTGCTGAAATTAAGCATATCTATTATGTTCTCCAAATACCACATCTATTCTATTCCCTTAATACCCCAGACTAGTAGCCCTAACAAAAAAGGAAATGTTTATGTAGTGTAACCTGTTCTCAGTAAGCTCATGTTGTCTTTCAGTAATCATTGCTTTCCTTTCCAAATACTCACAAACCACTCACTTAATAATACATTTTAGAATATTGCTAGCAATCTAAATCAAACTTCCTAACCTGTAGTTGGATAATTGGGACACCATTTGCCCATTTTAAGACTGAAGGAACTCTTAATGAATTCACTTCACTTCAAGCATCTTATTAGGCCCCTATTGTGCACCTTGCTGATATAAAGACAAAATGAACTAATTTCTGCTGTCACATAGTTTGTGGTCAACTTGACACATGTATATTTGAAGGAAATTTGAGATTTGAGAAATTTGAGAAAACAAACGACTAAGGCAGGGCATGAAGGGGATGGAGAAATAGATCAAAGAAATTTCATTAAAAAAATGGGACCTAAATTGAGCTTTGAAGGAAGTTACAGGGGATCCTGAAGGGGGAAGTACATTCTGGGCAGAGCAGGGACAATTGCTCAAGATAGAAGGTATAATACTGAATGTAGAGAAATACTGGCAGTTCAGTCCATGAACATGAGAATTCATGAAGAGGAATGATATAAAATAAGGTTATCTAAGTTGAGGTGGAAGGAATACAGGTAGTGGAAAGACTTAAATGCCCAGCTGAGGAGTTTGTATTTGTATCCTAGAGGCAGTGAGTAGACAGGGAAGGTTTTTGAGGAGGGGCGTGATATGGTAAGACCTTTGATTTCAAAGCTGACAGTTTCCAGGTTCATTAATTCTTTTTGGAACAGTGGGATATAATTGATCTGGGCCCATTCACATTAGTTAACAGAAAGCAGCCAGGTGCTCTCATACCCTCTTTTCACTTAGCTTTCATTTCATAGCCCTCTCCCCAGTTTTGTTCTATCTCTCCCAGCCCTAAGTTCTGGGCTAAGACTTTGATCTTTGTTTAATAGACATCCTGAAGCCAATGGAATTTTTTTTATCAGGAAATGGCTATGGTCAGAGCCTTGCTATAAAGAGATTAATCAGAGTACAGTGCGAGGATGCATTGGAATAAAGAGAGTGGACCAGTTAGGAGACTATTGTAATAGTCTAGGCAAGAGAGTGTGAAGTAGTGAGGTGGCAGTGGGAATCCAAAAGTTGGACCAGATGTAAGACAGATTTTGAAGATGGAATCAGCAAAACTTAGTGGATTGAATGTGAGAGGAAGAGAAAGAGTTTGAGAGAGTCTCTGGGTTTGAGTGTCAAGAATTGATGACATTATGAAACAAAGGCATTTCATTATTTCCTGTTTGTGTAATCAGTAGATAATAGGAGCTACATATGGTATAAAATTCATATGCTTGAAAAAAATCAAAACAGAACATGCCAAATTTAATTAATGAAAAGGAAAATTATTTTTGCAGATGAGTTCAGTTTTGCTTGTTTAGGCTACTGTATAAATTGTGTAGGGTATAGTTTTAATTTATTATTTTTTTCCAACTGCTTTCACATGGAAGGTTGTTTATGAATGTTTGACATGCCAGGTAGCACAAATAGACTCTAGATAGCGAAACCGAAACACTAGGTAAGGAAGTGGGGTGCTAAATTATGATTTCTAATTCATTTTGACAGTTTCAAGATATAAACCCTTAGTGACTCATATCCCATAGGATTAAGTCCAAACCCCTCAGCCTGGCATTCAAGGCCTTACATAATCTACCACCATCTAATATTTCTACTCATGTCCTCCCTGAAACAAATGGTTCATATCAGCCAGAAGCAAATATGACATGTTTATTTGTGACCTAGTACCTAAATCAATGCTGTTGCCCCTATGAAATGCCTTCCCCTGTCCTCTCCACCAATCCCACCCAACCACTAAAATATCTCCCAAGTCCTATCTTCTCCATAAAACCTTTCACATTCACTTTGGCCCAAACTCATCTTTCTCCCTTCTCTGAGCCCCTGTGACTTAAAGAGTCTGAAAAAAAAATTGATTTGGCTCTTGCTTACACACATGTCAATGTTAGCCTTGTTTCCCCAACTAAATTGTAAACTTCTAAAGGGCAGGATCTGTGCCATGTACTCCTTTTGATCTCTGGTAGTGAGAGGTGGGGCTGAGCACTGAGAATTTAGAGGACTATTCCACTACTTTTAATGTATGATATTTTCTATCTGCTTTCAGTTAAAAATAGGGATAGTGGATAGGAACTGAACTTGGGATTTCGTTAGTCCAAAAATTCCTTATTCCACTGCAACTTGAATTCATAGTGGGTTCCCTTGAGCCCTGAGAGGTTGCAGGATTTGAACACAGATCTTCCTTATTCTGAGGCCCATTCTCTACTCACATCGTCTCTCACAACTGAAGAGAGATTCTTGAAATGTTTGATGTGTCAGGTAACCACAATAACAGTTTCCAGAAAGAAAGAAAGACAGAAAGGTAAAAACAAACATCAGGGTTTGTGACTTTAATTTTCAAGGTGATAGAAATATGACTTTCTACTTCAGTCTAAGTCTTCCAGGGGAGTGATTCAAAATTTATATATAAAAAAAAACCCAAGACTTTAAAGCATATCAAAATAACTAATTGCACTATCTGCTTCCTCTGAAGGAAACATGAATAGAAGTATCAAGAGAACATATGTTTTCAAACTTCTCATGATTTGGGGTATTTTGTGATGATTATGCCTTTCATATAAAATAATACCTTCCTTTAATTTTTAAATATATACATATATCCATTTTTAAGATTTTGACAGTAATCTATCCAGTCTGAATTCCTAAAACTGGAATGGTTAGCAATCTTCTGTCTTCCTTAAGGTTCAGGAGTGGGGAGGGAAATACAGACAAGCACTGTAGCTCAACAGATGAGCTGTAATTTGTTCAGCCCTAGGCTGCCAAGGATTCTAGCCCCACCATTTGAGGGAGGTTTTTCTTCCAGGGAGTTAAGTGGTGACTTTACAAATCTCACTGTTTGGGGTCAGGCACACAGTGGTGCACTCATTTGTTTCTCAGCAGGAAAGGAAACATCACTTTGCATAGATCCTTCAGATCTCATATCATAAAATCCATGGCTGAAATTTCAAGCAGGTTGTTAGACTTGTTGAGATTCCAGTGGTTGAAGCATTTGTCTTTGTTACTGTGGCAAAGAAAAAACATCCTGTCTGTGTTCAGATTTTACTGAAATAATCATGATATAAGATGAATTCTATCAGCACATGGTTAGAAAATAATTAACATTTAAGTAATTTACTGCTTTGAGGGGATGACGGAAAACAATTAATGCTTTCCTATACTAATAAATAACAGAACAAAATTATATTCTTTTTCTTCACAAGTGAAATTTATAGGACAATTCAGATACTATAAGATAAAACCTTGTCATTTAAATTTTAAGTATCATGTCAGTAATTAGAAAAAATTTTCTCTCCAGATACTCTGAGGTTATTTGATATGATAATATGTATTACTTAGGTGTACAGTAATGACCTTCCATCATTGTTTTTCTAAGTTAATAGAGTTTTATAAATTCTGATTGTACTTTGCATAAATGGTAC